GGGGTTGGGTGACAGTCACACTATACAGCTGTTTATTGCTCTCATTTCTCTTCTATTGCTTGATCTTAGTTCATAGTGGTTTTGAAGGTGTAGCTTAACCAATAGTACAACACATAAGAGGCAAAGTTACAGAGGCGAGCATGTACATTGTATAACCGAACTACGATTTGGCAGGACCATTGGAAATGCAAGTCAACTGGGGTGGTTACGGTACGGATATATCGTATCGCACAACCAAGGCTACACTCATCGGGCCATTTCTTGGTTGCAGCTGTCCCGGGCTACCACGGTGACTAGCAATAGCTGGACGGGGTCAGCGAAATGTACTGACCACAGTGCCGCTCAGACGGCCTTGTGATGAGCGCAATGACTGAATCGCAGCACGGTGCACCATTGGCTCAGCGTGGAGATTGGGAGGACTGGGGTTAGTTAGCAGCACAAAGGTGGCGAGGGACACGGGGGTGTCTCGCATGGCAATCGGTTCGGATGTAGCAATGACGGGCCACTACGATGCTACAACTCTCACTAACATCCTGGTCTAGTTTGCACCGCTCTTGCATCGGTCCAAGCTAAGCTAGCTGGGTATTCATATGGTTACATTGCTTTACCATAAGAAGGGTTCTCGGAATTACCGCACAACCCCCTTTAAGGGTCCAACCACCGCACTACGTCAGGTTTAATCCACCGCACCTGACCGACGAGCTAAGCAAAATCTGCTCTGTTTATAGAGGCTGAGGAATCAATAAAACATGAATGTCGTTGAAGAGCTCAACCAATGGGAACCTTCCGTCTCAAAGGGTCACATGACTTCCTGCTAGAGTCGTGTGCGAGAATCTAAGTGTCGTGTGTAAAACGGTAGACTACAGGACAAGAAGTCACATGAACAAAGTGTAGGCTAGTTTCGGGTGCAAAAAGGATTACACAATCACCCTAGAGAATGACTGACGCTACAAAGTCTTCGGTACCGAATACTAGCATTTCAGGGAACTGTGATTTTACGGTTGGCTCGGGTTAAATGGTTACATCTATGTCGTAACTAAATGAATCAGAAGGCACCCTACATTATTTTTAAAACTTAAATACGGGCCCACAAGCAAAGACGCACAGGACAGATATTTACGTCAACACACAACAAAAATAATAAATTTAATGCAAAAGAATACTTGCTTATGAGGCACCACAGTCCCAAGATATCTCGTTGAACGCTTTAAGGCCACAGTATAAACAGAGTGTACATGATGAATACAAGTATCTCACAACGAGGGCACGGTGTTAGCTGTGATCATGATCAATGGACACATGAAGTGGGCCCAAATTTGTGACAAAGTGGTTTCAACTTACAAAGAAAATCCTGGACGATATGTGGTATACACTATCGGGGTACTACAATCAGGGTACTACAATCAAGATGAGGGGTCTCATAAAAAGTACTTGCAAGAAAAAAAAACGGCATGACAGAGTTTTGAACACAACAAAAAAATGGATAGGACCCAAAAAAACATAGAACAACACTTGTCCGATTAGCTGCAGTCCTCCGAGATGTCCAAAGAATGTTCGTTGATCGAGATCAATCCGGTCATGATCCGGTGAGCGGTCCGAAAGAAAAAGCGACAAAATGATAAGCGGAAAGTTCGACGTTTACACCGCGACAAACAAGCAAGATGGCAGGCGGAGAACAGCGTCATTCAGCGGGAAACGCGTGTATCATGGGGGGTGCATCCCGTGAACGGTGGGTCCGGCACTGCACGAAAAACAGCTAGCCGACATGAAGACGAAGACACTGCAACAACAGTGCAGCCTTATAGGAACGAGAGTAGCGAAACTTGACGCTCTAGCCACCGCCAAACCACAGTGAAAGTACATACGTGGCACTGTGCTGGTCACCGGGAAGAAACAATGGTCAGCAGTCCGTGGTAGAAAAGCTTCTCCAAAGCATAGGATGTGCGAGTGAAAGTTCACCTCTAAAGGAAACTCCGGTGGATTAGTGTACAAAGTGGAAACGGCAGTACACTAAACAGGTTCCCAGAATAGCTAAAAAGTAGGCAAAATTTGCGGATAAAAAAACGGCACAATGAATAAACTGACCACCGGCCGTAGTGAGGTAAAAGCGAGAGAGAGAGGAGAATGTGCATGTACTCGGCCGGAGAGGGTGCGTGCAGGGAAAAAAAACCATTGCGTAAATAATAGACTAACGATTCAGAAGCTGATGGCTAAACAGAGGGAAGCTAGTGCATATCCATAAGGAAGTAAATAATTATAATAAAGGCCAGCTCCCAGGTCAAGAAAAGAATGCGGATACAAGGTTATATAGGGTCCAGTCCACTTATTCAAGCCCCATTGAAAACAGTGTAAAATCAGCACTGTTCAAGGCCCAATAGCATGCACGTCAGCATCCCTGAGATTTCTGACCCACAAATTAAATTCTTTTTGTCTGGTCACTTATCTTTCAATTTTTTTTTCAATATTTTGTGGGTTAACCAATTACATTTTTAATTATTCCCACAAAACAAAATCAATCCCCAAAAAGGGANGGCAACCCTCAACTTTCTCGGGCACTTAGGACCATTTTTCAACCGTAGTTTTTGGCCTCTTGCTCTCATATGAAAGCTCAAAGACCCAGGGAGTTGATCCCGGCAACGAGTTACACGATCTCACCATTTTGGGGGCCAAACAATCTGCTTTTTCAAAAGATACTGTGGGGGGGGGCACTTTTAATGCTAATGAGCTGGCCAGAAATTCTCACTTGAATTAGTGGTCTGCACCCTATATCTTCTGGCTACTACAGTACCGTTGATGTTCGGTTATTCCCGCCGAGTATGTATGTTGGCTAGCTGTTGAACGTAAACTCCCCTATCCTAATATAATGGCAGCTGTTGTTCCTACAGTATTTGACTTTACACTGAAATCGAAGGTCGCCTTGGCCGAAATCAATGCCAGGCGAAATGCAGAATATAACTAAAGGTCTCCTCGGTAATCTCCCAAGAGGAAAATCTAGGAAGAACAAGAATCAGGACCTGACGACGACTGGCAATGCCCACACATACAGGGTGCACCACTGTAATGAAATCGGAAACACCCGGTCTCTCAACTTGTGACCCCTGACCCTCGCATAACATCTATTTATTGATGTAGAGCGACTACTTCTCGTCCGCAAGGCGAAACAAAGGATGTTGCGCAAATCAATCAAACACACAAAAATAAACTAAACTAAAGTGAACGCTAGAGGGTGGCATTTCACAAACTACCCTAAGATTTGCAGACATCACCAGGCTCTCCCTCACAAAGTGTGTTCCACTGCGTACTTTTTCAAAAATTCCTCGCTTGAACACGGGGTAAGCTGGACATCCTTCGATTTTAACACAACTGAATACCACAAAATTCTAATGGGCCTTGCACATCCTAATGCTAATGTCGGTTCATATTGAAAGCAGTCACAGAGTTGCGCCAGCCAGCTTAAAATGATTAGTGAACACTACGTCAGTAAAATTACGCTGGATTGGCCCTTTTGCGCGCGGTGTACTGCTTTTACCGTTGAAAAGGGGGACGCAAATGAAATTTGTGTCGAAACGTTAGTTCGATTTACGTTCAGCTCAATACATCCTTCCTATTCTAAACACGCTGGGTAGAGCGGGGCACCCAACTGACTTTTGCCAAACTTGGTCGAACACGGCTGAAATATTCCCAAAAGAAGGCAAGAGTTGGCGTCATACTGCTTCCTATTTCTCAAATGCATCTTTTGTCTACACTTATGGGCCACTCCCCGCGCGAAGTTGGGTCTTTTATTTTGAGCATAAAGAATATTATCCAAATCTTGGGACTGTGGTGTAATCGGAAAGGCGTGACACATGTTCCGCTCTCCATTGCACAAAGTGCCATGTCCATATTTTGGTCATTATTGAGAATATTAGAAAGAAAGCAACTTTAGGATTTTAAGTCACGTGATTTGTGACGGTCAGCGTCAAGTTTACACCGATTTGTGCGGAACACGCGCAACTTCGAACTCTGTCCACGTTTCAGTGGGACATTTAGTTCGTGCGCATGCGCGCCAAATTGTTTCGTGCCCGTGCGAACTTAGATGGCTGCCCAGTGATCGCGGTTTTGAGCTCAAAATGTATCGGGTATCATCATCTCTAAATTGATGAATTTTTTTTTTCTTTGCGAATGATTTGAATTTCAGACCTTCCAATTTAATTGGAGAAAGTATAACTTCAAAACGACCAATATCTTTCGCCTTATTTTGGATTTGATCGGCGACGTCTACTGCAAATGTGATTGATACAAATGCAAAAATCACTAGTTTTTGGGTGGAAAATGACATATTTCTCCAGTTTTCCCGGGCCTGCCACCACAAAAACTACATTTGGAAAAATAAAATAAAACGAGGAATGAATCTCACATGGGCAAAGAGTCCTGTTGAAGAGAATTGTAAGTTTTTTTAAGTGTTTTCATGATGTACAGCGCCCTCCTTACATGTGCGTACCGAAAAAGAAAAAAAATACCTTTGACAGTCATCAAAATCCCCACAGCGGAGCACCACGCCAAGGTTACGGGTGCTGCACAATGATGCACAGTAAGTCGATCAAGAGATCGTTTGAAATTGCACTACTTAAAGAGAAATGGTCATGCTTTGTAGATATGGAATTGGGAACTCGAGTGGCCTAGTCGATGGTGATACTCATAGTCCTTGTCCAGTGCATGTGGGCCAGGCAATTAACGCAACAGTTTTTCGGGATATACGGGCGCCAGTAAATGTTCCCTACAGGGACCTAGTATTAGCCGTCAGAAAGCAAAAAAATGTCAAGGAAAGTTCAATTAAGAAGGAAAAACCAAGTCGCACCGTTTATTCATANCACAAGCTTACTCGGGTGGGACTCGAACAAAAAAAAAGTGCCGTTTACTTAGAAAACACACCATGGACGTAGAAATAGATATAGGCCTACACGGAATATATGCACAGGGGGTCAAGTAGTGTCCATGTGTGGAACTCTTTCTGACACTCGTACAACTGAAAACACGTGTTTTCATATTGTTACCTCATTTTGAAAACCTTCAGATCATATCTGTCATTTTATTACGTGATTCCGTTAAGCTCTTTTTGGTCACCTTTAAATTGATTGAACTTACTGTGATGCTTAATGGTACATATAAATAAATTTTGTTTTTCAGAATTTCCATTTATCCATTTGATATCTGATCTGATAATGTTGAATCTGGCATGAACATACTCCCCACCCTGTTTGCCTAGGAATCCAAGGCCAACTTTCCTGCTGAGATCCATGGGATGGCAAGCTCTTCCACGAGATGCATATGGAGAGTTATGCTTTCTGCTGGGAGGTTGCCCGAAGAAAATTGTAAGTATTCTAGACTGTAACCTCCTTAATGAATTGAATGATATGACAAATTCAGTTGAATTTTTTTATGAATATTCTGTTTTCCAACTAAAAGTGAAATATTTTACAACACAAATATGATGCAGTGTGCTACCAAGAGGTTTTTATGGAGAGGCCTTTTCATAGTGCATTATGGGCTATATAGTTGCCTAAATCTCATTCATTAACTGTGCTGTGCATGGGAACCTTCAATTTTTCTGATAGTTGGTTGAAAATTCGAAGTTGCTTATTGTGAATGGGTGTTAGTTAGTCAAGAATGGTCATTTTGTGTAGAGTACGGAACAACTCAGTCAAATGTCCCCAAGCTATGTACCAGAATGTGCGTAATCGGGGCAGCATGTTGACAATAAATTTGAAAAGTGGCCTGTCTGCAGCAAACTCTTGATGGTGCAGTGTATTGTGAATCGCCTGTATTGAAACATTTTAAAGTTCATTTTGGTTTTTCACCCCTATGCCTATGCCTGACAATGGTTCTGCTACATGTATTCATTGCCAACATGAAGATGCTATCCATACCCAATGTAGAATTGGCTGAAGCCAACAAAATTGTCTTCCTGATCTCCTCTGTCTCAACTTTGTTTCAAACTGTTCAAGACTTGATCTTAAATCTGTGGCTCAGCCTGGCCATATCTCCTGTATGGCTGGAAAATCTATTCCTTGTTTTGGAGTCACAATAGTCTAAACTTCTTTTAACTCAGTGACACGCTGATTTTCAGCAACAAGAATTTGTCACCAGGAATTGACTTTCTTGCTGATGTATTCAGAGGTGACTGGCCAATGCTCTTCCAAGGATATCATGCTAACCTCGGCAGGTTAGTGTCCGAGGATTAATCCGGAACCCAGTAGTTTTAGGGAGGTCATCTTCAAGGTTTTTTAATTTCAAAGTTGTATGACCTTTAGGGGGTAAGGCTACATGATGGGTAATTTTCATGGTTGTTGGAGGATGGGAAGTGAAAACGATACAAGAACATAAGAGGAATATATTGCATACACCAGTAATTGACCTGTTTTGATTGTCCATGTTCATACTTGTATGACATCAAAGTACAAAATTGTGTGGTCACGATGGTTATTTTGGCATAATCAGAATATTCAGTACCAAAATCGTTACAATGCAAAGGTATTTTTACCATTTGGAATATGTGGGTTGCAAACATGAGATCTCAATGACAAAATGAATTTTTTCATATTTCTTTTTCAATTGATATTTTAATGAAAGCATTTTCTCATGTAATTTCGTGTTAAATTAAAAGTGACAATGACTTTTTATAAATGCTATTCTGTGTTCAATTGTCTTAATGAGAAAAGTATCCTGTAAGTTACACGTACATCAGCACTGGAAGACTTGACACCACATTATGGCACCACATTATGAATTTTATATATGTAGTCTCATGAATGTAAATACCACAAAGCCCTTAGAGAAACAGAAACTCATTTAAGATGAAATAAAAAATATATTGGAGGCTAATAAGTTTACTCAGTGATATTTAGAAACCATGAATGTATCTACCTGTGCTGTTCAGAAAAAATATAAATCACCAGGCCACCTGTTCAGTTTTGAACTGTGCAGTAATTCCATCATTTGGCCTGGGGAGTTTTTTTTTTTTGCATGACTGTGTAAATTTTATTTTGTGCTAACGCAATAGGTCACTTTGGGAGGAACAAGGAGCACTCCATAGATGTCAATGTCAAGATGGAGAGCTTGTCAAACATTGAGGACTCTTTACTTCACTTCAGACATGCTGTGTGGAAGAAACAAAAGCTCACTCACGGTATTTTGTATGTACATGTACATGGGTATTTCTATTTATTCTGGCCTCGGGCGAGTAACGGGAATTCCCTATCCAGTTAGACAACCAGCACACGAGACATCTGTTTCCGGTCTTGAATTCTTATATTCGATGATAATCTCGCATATGGTAAACTGTAGATTAACAGGATAAAAAACCATGTGCATATAATTAACATCAGCTGAACCAATGTGGCACAAAGGTCAAATGTGACACTGATAAGCAATGCAGGAAACAAATTGGTTTACGTAATATAACATACGAAAGGATTTAGCAAAAGAATAATCGACTACCAGTGTGTTAATCAGTGATAGGAATGGACCAGGAATGAATTAATTGAAAAAATAGGAACATGAGCGAGCATACACACAACCAGTGTACATGTAGTGCAGACAATACGAACTATTTCAACTTAACATTATCTTTACAGAATAAGCGAACAAGGTCTCGAAAAGTGGTTAACACTAACAGTATGAGGGCTAAATCAACTGAAATACATGTGTAGCATCGTTGGGTGGTAAAAACTTACAGAACCCTAGCCTCCGAGAGTGCAGAGCTAAGCTGCCAACAATAGACTTATTAAGTGAAGATCAAAATGTGGTGCAACCTGGGAGGCAAACGATAAACAGACCTCTTAAGCAAACAACAAGAAAATACAGACTCAAAAAAAAAAGTTACTAATACATGTACTTAAGAGCTGAGGAGTATATTCTATGTCACCTCTCCTTAGCGCAGACAACAAAATAACATCGAAGATGGGTATAAAGACGAGCAAACTAAATAGGACAGCAAGCATTGTACATGCTGTATACATATCTATGCGAACATACCCAGCAACAAGAAGATGGCAGCCCCCAAGACATAAAATAGAACATATGAAAACCGACAAAGATGTTGATATAATAGGGTCTTTACAATAACAATAAGACTTTTATCGAGAACAAAACTTACAGGTGATTTATATCAGAAGAATCAAGATTCGGAACGAATGCTGTCAAGCAGAAAAAAAGAAGATTATTGAGACAAATTCTAACGTGTTTCGTTAGTAGGATCTTTGCGCTAAAAACCAGCACTTCCGGAGAGTAGCGATTTAACAGTCACAACCCGAGAGCGCACTCTGCGGTCAGTACACTATTCATTAAGGGTTCAGTTTTTCCCTGCCTAATCTGACATGATTTTTTAGTTTAGAAAACATTCTTCAATTTCCAAGAGTAATTAAAGAATATAAATAACCTACTAAGTAAATAATATTATTTGAAGACCATATCAACGACAAGTTCCACTGGGCGTATGTAACAGGTACACAGAAAAAATATCAGTATATACATGTACATGTATATTGACCACTAATTTGAGAATAACAGACATTGCATCTCCCTGCATTCGTGTAACATTATTTTGGCCCCTAGTGCACTGAAAGAATTCTTCATTAAATTTACCGGGTTAAAATGACCAACGAAATTCTGTACTGGCCGATTTTGAAAGTGCACAATAACTCTCTTAACGTGCCCTCAAAACTATAAAATCAAGCTTGATTTGAGTACTGTTGGTGTAGGTATAATAATAAGAAATGTCGACGTTAATGTGGAATTTTCTAAGATTTATTCAAGTGCACCACCTTTCAAAACATTCAAACTGAATTTGTGCCCATTTCCGGATGCGACTTTTTTTTTATTTTCACGACACTGAAAGCACTGTGGAGGTAATAGTATTTATCTGAATGATTTTGAAGTTTACAACACATACAACACAAATTTGGTAACACATACAACACAGATTTGGCAACACATACAACACAGATTTGGCAACACATACAACACAGATTTGGCAACACATACAACACAGATTTGGCAACACTGTTGGGTAAAGTCGATTTGGGTCATGCTAGAACACCCGTACACCAAGGAACATGGTAACACATCCATCTTACACTGGACACCGTATCGTCGATTGTCGGTGTCTGGACTTACAACATTCCGCCGGGTTGCTCGATATACAAAATACATGTGCTGGCATTCTACCTCGACAGGGTAATTTGTTGCCAACCCGTGGTCCGAGGTTTCGTCTTTGCAACCTCTGGAAATCGGTCAGGCACACTGAAGCAGCACGACGTGGCTAGTGTTGGTGTCTTAGACTGGTGGCATTTTTCGCGTAAACACTGCATATGGGGTGGGTCTGGAAAATTACGCTTTTTTCAAACATCAGACTTCTTGCCAGCCGCAAAATACCCGTAACGATGTCAGCAAGTATTGGTCATTTAGGCAGTATGGCAATTTCCTTTGGGAAAACTGGAGAAATATTTGAAAAAGGAGTTTCAAATGTTGCATTGCTCAACAAAATTTGAATGTGATTTCGATTAGTTTTCTTTCATGAAAATGATTTCGATTAGTTTTCTTTCGTAAAAATTCATTTTCCCTTCAACTTGCTCATTTCAAATATTTTCTTTTCACTGACAGAAAAGATCTATCATGATTGTTTCACACACATGCCGAATTGTACCCCTTCCAGTGGCTTTGTTATTAAGTGGAAAACAATTTATTATAGGACCTCCGACAGAAGAAAATATCGCTTTCGTTGTCTGCTAGTTTAATTTGCGAGCTGCCGGCGCACTGAAGGCTGTGCGCATGCGCGACAGCAGAAACTATTTGTACGTCCACACGGCAGTGAAACATACATGTACGTGATTCTCGTGTACATGAAACTTCCAATAGAAATGCATGCACCTGCACGAATATGGTGCGCTTCCAAAATGCCTTTGCTCGTCATGTTGCTTCACGTCATGTCACGTGCTAAAACCCTCTATACCTCTGCAGTTCACCAGGCAACCCCCCCCCCGACTGCGGGGTCCATCGTCCACAGCGCTGCGGGCGACGGACCCTACAGTTCTAGGAGGTATTACTGGGCCACTTCTCACCGTCGTACTGGACTTTTCAAGAATCAACTTCCATAGTTTGTCGCCACCATGGTATCGACGTCTAACAGGTAGCTCCAACCATAGGGGTGCAGACCACTAATTCAAGTGAGAATTTCTGGCCAGCTCATTAGCATTAAAAGTGCCTCCCCCACAGTATCTTTTGAAAAAGCAGATTGTTTGGCCCCCAAAATGGTGAGATCGTGTAAATCGTTGCCGGGATCAACTCCCTGGGTCTTTGAGCTTTCATATGAGAGAAGAAGGGCTAAAAACTACGGTTGAAAAATGGTCCTAAGTGCCCAGAAAGTTGAGGGTTGCCACTTGAAAAATGGCTGCAATCAGACTTCGAAAAAATCACTTGGGGGTGATTTTGTTTTGTGGGAATAATTAAAAATGTAATTGGTTAGGGCCTAACCCACAAAAAATTGAAAAGAAATTGAAAGATAAGTGACCAGACAAGAGTTTCATTTGTGTTTCAGAAATCTCAGGGATGTAGGCGTGCATGCTATTGGACCCTGAACAGTGCTGATTTCACACAGTTTTCAATGGGGCTTGAATTAGTGGACTGGACCCATAGAGGTTTGTAGCTCTATGCTCCACCCATCCAGTGGGGTGCGGCAGAAGCGCGGCATCCCGCTAATAACATGCACGCAGTGGTTTGTGAGAATGCCGCCCTCTGACGTTCACTTTAGTTTAGTTTATTTTCTGTGTTTGATTGATTTGCGCAACATCCTCTGTTTCGCCTTGCGGATCAACAGTAGTCGCATTATGTTCTGCTGTTTATTAATTCTTTGCGTAGATAGTTATTTGTAGTTTTCTTTAGTTTTTATGTTTGTATAAATTTTTTATTGTCAGTATAATTGTTTTGTTGCACTGCAATAGTTTTTTCTTTTTATTTTTCCGAAACAGTATTGTATTTGAGTTTTTTAACATTACAAATAAATAAAATATAATTAAACATTTGTTTCACAGTTTTCCTCGTTAATTGTAAGATCAGTATTTTTTCGTCATATATTTAATTTTTAACAAAATAGTGTTGTTTTTCGATCATATACTTAGTTGTTCACAAAACCGATGTTGGGAAGCGTGTTTTAGGAGTCACCGTAGTTTATTTGGCACGCCGCCCAGCCCTTAGAAATGTATAACAAATATCTGCGAAGATAGTGCGGTGGGCGAGTGTAAGCACTCTTCCTTTCCAGTGTGGGCACCACCGAGTGCTGTCTAGAAAGCCAAGTCCACAGCCGCACAGGCACCGGCCTGGCATTCGGGGAATGTGGAATTACATGTAAAGAAAATAAAGGAATAAAGGATTTGAATCATTTAATTACAGTCACACCTGGACATTTGAACCCCAAAAAGTCACTTAATGTGAAATAAAACTCTGTTTAATTTAGATAGTTACTGTTGGACTCTATCTGCCTGTTTTCCTTTGCCTTGGCATCCTTAAAACTAATAATTTAAGCCTGTCATTACACTAATCTTGCCAAGTTGGCCGCCCATAAGAATGCAAGGTGCAGGAACGAGTAAAACGAGGGGGCGCTAGAATTCCTACAACGAGATTTGCGGGTGCCAGGAGGCCAATATCGGATTTGAGCAAGCCCTGACCTCAGCTAAATAAAGTTCTCCCTAAAGGAATTCTGATTACATGCAACAGTGGAGTAGAAGGGAGTCTAGAGTGGTTAACGGCCAAAGTGTAAGATGAACGTGTGGTTCATTAATTGTCTCAATACAGGCAATACTCCAATAGGGCCTACAAACTTGAACCTTTGCGCATGGATATGAGCTTAGACGTTGGACAGCATTTGCTTCAAACTATTAAAGTAGTAAGTAGGTTTATCAAGCATTATGTACTCCACAGAAACTTCTGTGAATATTGTGGGTCGGAGACCGGGCAGCCGACCTAGGTCGTACAAAGATATGAGGTTACAAAAATCTACAGCAGCAACTTGCTTTTCTACTTAATCACCGTCGGTCCAGCCAGAAGGGTGACTCTTTCCTAACTAACGTAGTCCAGGCTAAGTTGGACGACGAGGATGTGGATCTGCAGGCGGTGCAGTATGCAAGAACGTGGATTTGGCCCTGGAGCACGGATAAAGTTTGATGGACAACTACTTATCCCATCCATCTAGCGAATAAACCATTCATAGGGAACATAATCTCAACAGCAGGCTAAAATTGCATTCCTGCTTATTTAAATGATAGCGTGTGGGCCTTCAAAGCGGGGGGGGGTAAAGTTGCCGCGGCCACTTTGAGACTTTGGGAGCGACGGAGGAACAGCTAGCTCACGGACCACTGCAAGTGGGCGACTCGGATATGCCAGACATTCAAACATTATATACATGAAAGAAGAAAGGTGACCAGACGTCGCGCCACTGCTCAAATGTTAAAGGATAGGCTTCGTTTGGAGGAAATGGAACAACCATCAACCTCAGATCTCACCAGAAAATTCTATGAAACCTTGAACTCTAACCCTAAGGCGGACCGAGAGACTCGGAGGGCATTCCCACAGAGTATCATGCCGCACTCGTATGCTCTTATAGCAAAGGTGGAGTAAGCTTGGGGGTGTCGGCAAAGGGGAAAACGCTAACAGTTTGTACGTGAGATGGTGCAGTGTTAAAGAATAATTGGATACTTCATGGCATGGAGGAAGGAGGGGATGTTCATGGAAAGAAGGGTCCA